AAAAGCTCTATTAAGCCCCCGGGAGGGCTTATTTATTTTTTTCAATCCTAGAGGGGGGCTTAAAAGAGAGGGGGGCTTAATAGAGAGAGGGGGCTTATTAAAAATTTGAAGCAAAAAAGTTTTATTGGCAAAATTTTGTTATGAAAATGTCATACAAATTTTCTCAAGAAACTTTGTTAAAAGCTTCGAAAGTTTAATCAATCAATTATAAGGTCCTAATCTTCATTAACATCAGGGTGAATTGATAACCCTTGTACATCTTCAAAACAAGTTTCAACTGGCTACTAAGTCGCACAAGTTAGTCTTTACATAGGCCGTATTTAATGCACACGATCCTATCATCATCGAACCCGTCAAAAGACCCACTAAAGGCACATGATTTCTATGTTTGACATCAAAGGGTAGAAAGGGGGCTTATTAGAAAGGGGGGCTTATTAGAGAGGGGGCTTATTTAAAATTTTTGCTTGATAAGGGGGGACTTAATAGAGAGGGGGCTTAATAGAGCTTTCACGGTACATTAAGTAACAATTGATCTAGTATTACCTTTGTGTTGATTTAAATGTAGATGTCATAATGCACAGTATCGATTATAACTGATCTTTTTGTGTAACCATGTGTTACGTCGAGGCCTGTTTACTACCATATCCTACCATATCAGTCGTTGCATAAACATTTTTAATATTGTATCATATATTTATTTAATATTAATTCTTTATAGATAGTTGGCCTTAATTAGTTTCTTTATAGCTATCAGACGTTCATTTAGTACGCAAATTTTAAACAATTTATTTATTATTATATATTATTATTATTATTATTATTATTATTATACTGGAATATTCCATCGTAGCCTTGTATTTGTTATGTAGATTTAGAACACTATCGAATATTACTCATTGCTGACATCATATACCTAATTTAGAAATTACTCATGCTGACTGTATTCATGTATCTAGACGTAGATGCTATGTAATCATGACATATATATCTAGAAAATTCCCCAAAAGTAGTATAAATAGAGTTAGAACGTAGTTTAGATAAGGTTCGAGCGCAGATTCGAGAGTTCAATTGAAGACATCGAGCGTAAAAGCAAGACGACACTTGGAAGCATCTTTTGTTGTTATCTACTGTCTGTGAGTAATTGTCTGCGGAGAACTGTGCTAATTCCCGACAAATTTGCACCCCAGACGGGAGAAAATGGGAGATTTTGAAAAACTGAAGAAACATTCGATGGCATGGTCCAAATGCTAAAGTTCACAAACGAGGAAACAGCGAAGATCGTCGACAAGAATGCTTTAAGACGATTAGAACGCCATTTGAAAGCCATGGAGACTCAAACCGATGAAGTCGATGCGATGAAGCTGGAAATTCAGAAGCAAATGATACAAAAGGGCGACAAAATGGAAGATATAAAAAAATGGAGGCAAGAGACAGATAATGACATAGCCATCTACGGTGAAACTATGGAAAAGATTGAACAGAAAATTAAAATCTTGAAGGAACTGGAAAGAGATCAAGAAAGACGGAAGGAAGAGGAGGTCGAAGAGCTCAAAAGACAACGTCATTATGATGAAGAATTGAAACTTGAAGAAGCAAAGCAGAAAATGAGGCAAGAAATGAAGAAAAAGTTGGAAAGGACACCAAAAAGGCCTCAGGCTCAAGCAAAACAATCGAAGTACGGTGAACCAAGCGAAATTGTTCATGCCCACGTGCAAAAACGGATATCCTTGCAGCCCGTCCATGGATCAGAGCCTGGTAGAGTATACGAATTCTACCTGAAAGCATTGAATTACGAAGAAGCCTTGTTGCCTTCGAAGAGGCCATTGATGTGATTGACCTACATGTGTTTTGAGACACAAGTGGAGCTGGTACAGCAGCGGTAATGTATGCTGTAGTTTATCAAAAGAAAAGGAACCAACCAGGGATTTGTGGCATCAAAGGATCGTTCAACAAAGAAAGGATTGGCAATTCCACACTTAGAGCTAGTATCTGCACATATGGCAGCCAATCTTGCACAAAATGCAAAGGATGTACTTGGAGGCCAACCACTTAAGCATGGTTATAGATGGCTAGACATTAGCGGGGCACTTCGTTTGATCAAACTCGGGAGGCAGCTTCAAGCATTTCGTTGCAAACAGAGTCCAACAAATAAATGAGAAGTCCTTCATACAATAGAGATATATGAAAATCCAGCAGACATAGCGAGCAGAGGGGGCAGTGACAAAATTGGAGAAACATGGAACATATGACTACTCAGCTGGCTATCAACACGAACAAATTGGCCTCGGGACAGTGTATCGCCACGGGGTGGACTGGGGTGGACTTGACCTGATCAGATCGATTTCGATTTTCGCACTGGCAAAAAAGCCACCGTTGCAAAAAATGCTGCTTGAGAAAGTTGCTTGTCCAAAAAATTCAAAATAGATAAAAAATACTAAAAAATATGATTTTCCAAGAGTCTGAAGGGCGTGGCCGAGAAAATTTGTTTTGTCCACCACAGTTTTTTCGAGCTGGCGACACCACAGTTTTATGAAAATGATGCGAATAACAACATGGATTGCTAGATTCATACATAATTGCAAATGAAAGAAGTCAGCAACACTTTGTGGACCATTGACTACAAAGGAAATTGTCAAACAAATCATATTTTGGGTGAGACGGTAACAACATCACTGCAGTGATACTGAAGAATTCAAAGCAGATTAGTTAAGATTGAACCTACAGCAGGATTGAGACCCACGAATGCAAAGGGAGAATTCAAGGCGTTTACCCAAAGAATCTTCCAGCGAAATCATTCTTAATACGTAATTGAGAATATTACCCATTGCTGACTGTACTCATAACATATGTATCTAGAAAATTCCCCAAAAGTAGTATAATTAAAGTAAACAAGTAATTTAGATCATACTCAACACTCAAGCGTGGATCGAGAGTTTAAGCAAAGACATCGAGAATCAAAGCAAGACGACACTTTGAAGCAACCCTTTATCGCTATCTCCTGTCTGTGAGTTTATTTTGAACATAGCTTCTGTAGAGCGTAGACGTAAATGAAACTCCATATCGTTGATTTTATCTTTAAATATATGACTATATAAACAAAACGTGACTATATACAACTTTAACGTAAACGTAACTTGTAAGACCATCATAAACTTTTATCGTGTCTTTATCGTAACTTCACTACTTTAAAAGCTTAACCTTACAATATAGGGCGCGAATATAACACGTAAGAAGACTGGGGCGAGTAGGAATCCCCCATAATGGCGTGGGCTGCGAAATATACTGACTTCACAACAGAGTTATCGTCTGCGCTGCAGAGAACTGTATTAGTTCCCAACATTTATAACCAGTGGTTCTGTTAGAACACAGGGTTCCCATCCAGGCACCGCGCTGCCATTGGGCTAGCAGGGGCTATAGCCCCTCCACTTTTTTGCAATAATAGGTTAGACAACTTTTTGGAAAGTTTACTCTTACTATGCTCTAACACAACATTGAATACTTAGTTGCAGTTTTTCTTGACTGGAAATCCTTTTCGTTCATTTTCTAATTGTTTTCATTATGTTTTATAATCCCCTAGCTAATTTTATCTATTTTCATAGCTATTGAAATCTTCTTTTAAGCAGAGTTGTTATAAAACTTCTGTAGAAGTAAGCAAGTATTTTCTAAAAGGGGTGTTTCCCGGCGTTTTAGAGGGTGTGGCCCAAAAAGTTTTTCAATGACACCCTTTTCCAGCCCTTCCACATTTAGACTGGTGCGCGGTCCCTGTTCCAGTCCATTGCAGGACATTACATGACGATTGCATCATGACTTGTCACGTGTGTTTATTTTTATTTATTACGTAATTATTAGTTTAGTTGCTGGTATGGTAAAATGTATAGAAGGGAGAGAATGTTTTTTTATTTTAAAGTAGTCTTGCCGTATGATTGTCGAATTTTGTTAGTCCTGTCGCTAGCTTGTAGGATTGTGTTTGCCGTTAGATTGCCATCGTTAGCTGCTTAAGATATTTTTAGTCATTTGCCGTGAACTGATGAAATTAGAAAAAAATGTGGAACATTAGAGAATTGAAGAACAGTTTTTGCCGTATTTATCGTGTACGTTTCTGCAAAGGATCTACGAACCCGCGTCTGTAATACCCACTTTTTAGTGGTTTTTACAGTCCCTTCTTTTGTACGGTTTCAAACAAATCTAGTTTACCTTTGTTTAGAATCTGTTACGCATTTTGAGAGAAAAAATTACATCGATAGAAAAAAAGGAGTAGTGTTTCAAGAATAATTTTTCGAGGTCACGTGATGACTGCTGATATTGCGATAACTGCTGGCAAAAAATGTATATATCAAAAAGTGAATATGTATATACCAATCTGCCCTGGGTACCAGACTCACGCTATACCAATCGAAAGAGATCTTTGAGACCTTGCATTATATGTAAGTTTTACTGTCATTTGACGAATTTCCATTCAGTTATGGGTATCTAAACAGTGAATTTTTACCAGGAATGACGTCACCGATCACGTGACAACAAAGGATTTTCTATAACGGTGCAAATCAAAATGTTCAAGTTTAGAGCCTTGTTTAACGGGATTCAATTCAATTTTAACCAAATTCAAATTCAATTCAAGCTTTTAATCAAAGACCGAGATAAAACTTTTTATGGGGGGAGGGGGAGCGGCCCTGATGAATAAGTGTAATAACAGCCAAATTTGACAGAATAAATGTATTTTACATATGCTTCTTAAGTTTTACTTCACCAAGGCCTCCCGGTCCTCCCCGGTATGGTATCTCGGCCCTTGCTTTTAATAAAAATATACATGAAAACAAAAGTTGGCACGTTTGTTAGAGTATATGCCATGTCAAATGACACCAATCTTTATTATCCTTGAAATAAAAATCTCGGGCCTTTCGTCGTGCCTTTCAAGATAAAACATATTTTTAACTTTAACAAAAACCAATATCTTTGTGAGCTTGGGTTTGGCGGAAAACTTGTGCGGAGGAGCAAATGGGTTGGGTTTGAATTTGAACTTGGCCTACTTGGAGTTCGGTGCCACCTGTCGAGGAGCTGTCTTAAGAGTTGCGTATGTTTCATGGCAAATCTGAAGATGGAGACGCGATACATTGTAACAATTATTGCATTATCTGCTGTTATACTGTCAGCTGAAGCTGGTAAGTCTATTTGTTTGTTTCATCGCTAAGATCTTCCTGTGGCGTCCATCAAGATATGTTTGCGTGCATCATATTAATATACAGGTAATGCTCTGAAAGTCAGCAACAAGTCTTAGTTGCAGAAAAAGTCAGTACTGATCACTCGAGGATAGGTTGTTATTTGTTGCTAAATATTTAAATGTGTACTGAGAACTTTTCAATATGGTTTATCCGTTCATGTTTTTGTGGAGCTCGTCAACCTCGTGTTTCTTTTTTGTCTGTGGTCGTTCTTCAGCCGGCATGTTTGTTTATTGTGTTGGATTATTTGTCAAGGGTTTCTTTCTAAACTAGAGAACAATTTCATCGACAATTTATCACCCGCATGTTCAATCTTAGGAAAAGTTTTAATTCCTTTAACCATAATAACCCGATCGCTTGATATTATATTACATTAACCTTCTGTAACATGTTTATTTTCAATTATAATTTAATAGGCCCAGGCATGCATATAACACGATCCAGTTATTCGACCCATCCAAGTACAGCGTATGGTTTTACGGGATCTTTATTGCAGTTTATTGTTTTTTCAAACTAATTCAATACTGTTTGGAAGATTTCTTTTAGAAGTACTTTAAATAGCCACCAAAAGCTCAATTGATGTTATCAATGTAACAAT